GGGGTGCTGGGAGGTGAAGGAGGGTGCTGGGAGGTGAAGGGGGGGTGCTGGGAGGTGAAGGGGGGTGCTGGGAGGTGAAGGAGGGTGCTTGGCTGGGATTGGAAGGGTTGAGGCTGTGCGCTGGTGACTGGAATTGATGCTAATGGCTGTTGATAAGTTTGTTCCACTGCAGGGCAGAAAGGTGTAGCAGGACTAGACCATTCTCAACTGGCAAATGACATGACATTAATGAAGTCACTTATCTGGGCTTTAATTGTTTTTACTGCAAAAATGGGACCAAGTCATGCAGCCCGTCTCCCAGTGAGGTTAAGAGATGTGAAATCATTTATATTGTGGTTTATCAGTGTTGGTTGGCATAGTGGGCACTGGTTATGTGGCTGGATCGGGTCATGGCGTGAACAATTAGGCAGCAGCCGTGGAACACAAGGAAGAGATGTGTGTGGCCTGCCTGAGGGACACAGGGAAGAGATGTGTGTGGCCCATTAGGGCGGCCAGATTGGGAGTAGGGCTGGACCCAGGGAATCCTGGGGCACCCTGGCTCAGGCCTGACCTGTGGTCACAGACCCGCCTCTCACTCAGTTCTGACTCCAGCCTTGGGGGTCAGCCCCAGTCCTGGCCTCTTTGATTGCTAATTTGTCTTGGTCACTCAATACACATGTGTTAAACTAGCAAATGTCCTCTGTCTTGCGCCCCACACTCATGCACCCAGCTGCCTCCTAGAACTCTGCCCTGGAAGTTTCTGCACAAGTACTGCTAACTTTACACATCTTGTACTGAGCCCTTCCGTGTTCTCTGCCTCAGGGAATGCCCCACCCGGTCACTGGGGTTCAGAACCATGGACACCCTGAATGCTCCCCTTCTCTCTCCTGCCACTTTTATCCAGACCTGCTTCATCTCTTCTGTCCCTCATTTATCCTACAGATACTGTCAGATTACTCTTTGGGAAGCACAGCTCTGATCATGCCATTTCCCCATTCAAGAACCTTCAATGGCTCCCAGCTGCCTACAGGATAGAGTTCACACCTCTTAGTTTACCTCTAAGTCTGGCTGCAGCCCGAGTTCCCACTCTTCCCTACCAGCTATTGTCTCAAGCCAAATTGATCTGGGTACATCCTTGCCCCAGAGCAAGCCAACTTTACCTCTCCTTGCTGCCTGGCCACCTATTCCTTCTATTTGGACACTAACATCTTAAGGCTGAAAGGGTGGATCCCAGCTGCCCCCCACCCCACCTCGCCAGGTCCAGCCTCCCAGTGCCTCTTACAAAGGGAGCCTGTGGGGTGTAGAAGGAGGACCTCCCAGTGGGCAATTGCAGCTGGTCCAGGGGAGATGAGGTGAGAGGAGGCCTGGGGAGGACCTTGTGAGACAAAGGCCTCACCAAAGGCCTCGCTTCCTCTTCCTCACAAGCAGGGACAGCCTTCCACCACCGAGAGCCCAGCTGTCAGCGCCTCACAGGAAGATGCCGTGGCGACAGGGCAGCCCTGGCATGGGTGTGCATGTGGGCACAGCCCTGGGAGTGCTGTGGTTCTGCCTCACAGGTGAGGGAGCAGTGTGGGGAATGGTGGGGAGGGACAGTGATCATGGTGTGGGGGAGGGAGTGTGCACTCCCACCAGGGGTCCTGACAAGCTGCCTCTGTCTATCAGGGCCACACTCATTTCCACCTCTGGGAGCCAACAGGCAACTTACTTTACCCCTCTTAGCCTCCATTTCCTTGTCTGTACAATGGGAATGTGAACACTAAGTGTGATAATGCTGTTTCTTTTTTTTTTCTTTTCTTTTTTTTTTTTGTCTTTTTTCCGTGTCCGGCAACGGATCGCAACCCTCGGTGTTGCTCCCGCGCCTCGCTCAGCCAGTGAGCGGGAACCGGTCTGTATGTGGGATCCGAACCCTCGGCGGGAGCGCCTCCATGCTTCCCAAGCGGTGCACTAGCGCAGTGCGCCACCGGGCCGGCCCGATAATGCTGTTTCTTGAACACACTGTGTGTGCTCTCCCTCAGGACCTTTGCATGTGCTGTTTCCTCTGCCTGGAACTTTCTGCCCCCAGACACCTGTGTGACTTGATCCTTTATTTCATCAAGGTCTTTGCTCAAATGATACCTCCTTGACAAATCTTTCCTGGCTACCTCATCTAAAATAGCACACCATCCTCATGCTCCCTAGTTGACCTCACTGCATGCTTCCTCCTAGCATTTGCCTGCACCGGCCATACCCGGTTACTTGCTTCTGCCTGTCATGCCTCTGCTCAAAGAGCAAGGTCTATCCCCAGAGCCAGGATGGGTGCCAGCCACACAGTAGGTACTCAGAGCCATGTTGAATAAATGATGTGGATCTTCCCACACAGTGTTTGCACATAGTAGGCGCTCAGTAATGGTAGCTACTTTAATAACGATATCCTCATCATGTTTACAATCCTAATCAGTTTATCTGCTGTGAGAGAGGCCCACTTCCTCCATGCGGAAGACAAAGCTGAGTGTCTTGCGCCATCTTGTGGCCACAGAGAGGCACTGCACATCTATACCCATTGCTGCTCTGAGAGAGGCTTTGTCTGGGTGACTCCTTAGGTTTCATGCCCCAAATGCCCCCTGCAAGGGGCACCCTGATCCAGCTGGCAGGGGAAGAGAACTGGGCTGGGGCACGTAGGGTTGCAGCAAGAGATCCAGGGCCAGCTTAAGACCTTTAGAGATCTCCATATACTGTATCCCCTCCGTATGTGTAATTCGTAGTAAAAATACTAACCATAAAATAACTGTTATTTTATTTTATTTTATTTTTTGTCTTTTTGTCTTTTTCCATGTCCGGCAATGGATCGCAACCCTCAGTGTTGCCCCCGTACCGGACCGGGGACCGGCAACGGGCTTGCAACCCTCGGCGTCGCTCCCGCGCCTCGCTCAGCCAGTGAGCGGGAACCGGTCTGTATGTGGGATCCGAACCCTCGGGCGGGAG